GCTGTTTTACTAAACTCTTCTGAGGTGAAATTCAGTGCAGTCATGTATCGTGATGCGTATCGTATCGGGACTTTGCTGGTGATACACAGCCCTATTTTCAACTGTTATTAAACTGATAAAAATCAACATTGAAAGTGCTATAGAAATAAACATGACTTGACCATATTTGTAAATGCTGACGGTGTTTCAGGTGTTGAACATCCTGAACATGTGTCAGGCGTTCCTGAAGCCCTGCGTGTCGACCGACGCGGCGCTCTCTCTGCCCGCCGACGCGGCTCACGATCAGGACTGCGTGATCGGAGGATCGTTACCATCAGACGCAGATCTGCACAAGCCCCTGCCACACGGATACAAGCTCAGGAACTTCTACACCAGACAGTATCTGAAGCAGAGCTGCAGCTTCCCGCCGGAGGAGCCGCTCCAGACCAGCATTCCCGTGGCAGACTCCGCCCACCCATGCAGCTCTGGCTCCGCCCAACCGTGTGGATTAGACTCCGCCCACCTGTGTAGCTCAGACTCCACCCACCCATGCGGCCCAGACTCTGCCCAACCGTGCAACTCAGACTCCACCCACCCATACGGCTCTGACTCCGCCCACCTGCACATCCTACGTCCGAAGAAAACTGTTTACCTGAAGAAGTTCAACTACCTGCGCTCACACGTCAGTGCGGAGGATGAGGGGGCGGAGCACTGTGACCCACGGGGGGCCACGCCCACTCACCCCGCCCACGCCTCTGATCTCCCCGTGACCTCTGTCCCGGCAGAAGTGTCCGAGCTGAAGACAACACCTGCGGCAGAGACCGACGACCTGAGAGGTCACGTCGAGAGGTCAGAGGTCAGCAGCGGGAACAAGTACTGCTGTGAGGTTTGTGGAAAGACGTTCAAACATCCCAGCAACCTGGAGCTGCACAAGCGCTCACACACAGGTCAGACACACACACACACACACACACACACACACACTCTCTCACTCTCTCTCACACACACACACACACACACACACTTACTCACTCACTCACACTTACTCACACACACACACAGACACGCACATTCAAACACACTCACACACACACACACACTCACTCACTCACACTTACTCACACACACACACAGACATGCACATTCAAACACACTCACACACACACACACACTCACTCACTCTTTCTCTCACACACACACACACACACACTTACTCACACACACACACAGACATGCACATTCAAACACACACACACACACACACACACTCACTCAAACACTCACAGACACGCACACTCAAACACACACACGCAAACACAGACACACTCACACACACACTCAGCTCTCACGCAGCCGCTCGTCTCTCTCTGCAGGTGAGAAGCCGTTCCAGTGTAACGTGTGTGGGAAAGGATTCTCACAGGTATGTAAACAGACAAACACACGCCTGATGCGTTCTTGCTGCATGCGTTCATGTGTCTGTGTGTTTGCAGGCAGGAAACCTGCAGACGCATCTGCGCAGACATTCAGGAGACAAGCCGTACATCTGTGAGCTCTGTGGGAAGAGGTGAGCGTTCATCTTGTGAGAGAGGAATCAGACTGAACACGCACACTGAACTAGTTTGTTGCATGCACTGTGGAAAGACGGCAAAGTCTAGTGGAAAGAAAACTGCCAAAATCCAGAATCCTCTCTGGAAAAACCTTTAACTCTAATATGACGACAAAATCAGACAATTATGAGCCTGACTTTATACAATGATCAGATTTATGTGCTGGAACTGAATGCAACTATGTGCATATTTAATGATATAATGCATCATTTGCACATATAAACATACCGTTCCAGAGAGCGTGTGATGTAAAGCAGCTGCTGTGTTGCGTGGAGATGTTTAGTGGTAGTCTTCAGGGAATGACTGTCTGTGTGCTTCAGCTTCGCAGCGTCCGGAGACGTCCAGCGGCACATCATCATCCACTCGGGAGCGCGGCCGCACCTGTGTGACATCTGCGGACGAGGTGAGCGCCGTCAGCGATCGAACGCTGCGAGAGACAGAGCCATGCTGACCTCCGCTTCTGTCCGGCAGGCTTCAGCAACTTCAGCAACCTGAAGGAGCACAAGAAGACGCACAGCACGGAGAAGGAATTCACCTGCGAGCAGTGCGGAAAATCCTTCAACATGCAGAGGAAGCTGTTCAAACACAAGCTCCGACACAGCGGAGACAAACCCTACAGCTGCCAGACCTGCGGTGAGCGCTCCGATATATCACATTCAATGATCCAATTCAGCCATAATAATAATCAAACATAACACATTTGTGTATAATTTGAGTT